GAGAAGACTGAGAGGGGATCTCATCAACACGTACAAATATCTCAAGCGTAAGTGTCACGAGGACGGAGCCAGACTCTTCTCAGTGGTGCGCAGTGACAGGACAAGGGGCAACGGGCACAAACTGAAGCATGAGAGGTTTCAGATGAATATGAGGAAGAATTCTTTACTTTGAGGGTGACAGAGCCCTGGAACAGGTTGCCCAGGGGGGTTGTGGAGTCTCCTTCTCTGGAGATATTCAAAGCCCACCTGGATGATGTCCTGTGCAACATGCTCTGGGCGAACCTGCTTTAGCAGGAGGGTTGGACTAGATTATCTCCCAAGGTCCCTTCCAATCCTTGCCATTCTGTGATTACATAAAAAGTCAAGACAGATAAGATTACAGAATGAGGTCCAGAAATTAAAGTGTCAAATAAGGACAAGAATAAGCTTTACCAGGCAAGAGAATTGCAGAATTACTAGAAGGTTTAGCAAATGTCCCTTTAAGTCCAATGCTCTAAGCTGAACAACTAGATACTTTTTGCAAGACAGCAGGATTGTAACTAACATGAAGTGAATGCTATTCAAATAGCCATTTTCCCAGGGAACAGGAAACATCAAAAGAAATACCCCACAACTGGCTATCTATTAGATGACACTGCTCTACAAAAACTACATTTAAAATGAGCTAGTAAATACCTATAATAACATTTTATCAAAATTTATCATTTCCTAATAGTTGTTACTGTAAAAGTATCATGTAACAAATGGTGCTCCCAGGCCAAGCTTAACCACTCCCAAGTCAAGCCTAACCACTCTCAGAAAAACACATGGAAGAGACTTCTTCCAAATAATGTATCAAAGCGTGAGTGAGCATGCATGTATATAAAATAATTTCTGTTTGCCCCCGAAAGTTCTAACTACTGTCAAAGGTGAAGTTCAAAAGTTAAACTTCTTCAGTGTCTTTCTATTCACTAGGAAGGAGGCTATATTGTACACATCAACTTTGACACCACGGTTGAACTACAACTTATTTCCTGAGGAAACATGGGGTAAATTCTTGAATTGTTTAAGTTCTCAATACAATAATTTTGAGGGGGAAGCTATTCATGAAAGGTGTATAAATGATTTTGTTAAGACAGAAATCACCTTCAAATTTGAATCTGTTTCAATTTTTAAAAAGATACCAGAAAGAAGAGATACATCTAAAAAAGTTTAAGTGTCTGAAGAGCACAAATCTTTATTTCTCATGCAATATCAACAACTTAAAGCTGTTTAGGTTAAAGCTGTTGGTATTGCATTAGAAAATAAATTATGGAAATGAACTAATTCAGTCAGCTATTCCCAGATACTACAAAGTACACTAGCCTGTGTTATTTTTGTATAACTTGCAAGCAAAACAGAATTTCATTAAAACACTTCCTTTTGCCAAAAAAGTTGTGGGTTTGTATTCTGATTAAGAGCCCAACACTCATTACACTACACAGATTGCTTTAACCAAAAGGAATAAAGAAAACAGTTTTACTCCTGCCCCAAACTGTGGCCAAAAATCAAAAGCTGAAGCAAGTTATTGTCGCAGATGTTGAATACATCCTCTCAGAAGTTGAGACCACTGAATCTTTCAAACTGAGAAGTAATAAAAGTAAAATTCCATTTAGTCCTCATCAGTCTCTGTTCTTGGGTACAACCTCACCCCTTGCCACCAGTGACCTGACCACCTCTTCTAATCCAGCCTAACACATCCATGCTTAAAGAAAAGGAAAACCCCACTGCCATTTACGTAAATGGTAGAGGAGAAACAAGTTACAAGTAACTGGAAGAATACCAGTTGCCAAAGGCCCCAGTAGGGTCTCAATCTCAATAACAGTTGAACTTCTAAATCAGAGTTTAATATTAAAGTGTAATTAAAAACATACAGAAGTTGCAACAAAGGGAGCAAATGAGGCTCTCATTTCACAGTATGGTACAGTTACAATTAACAGCTCACCACCAACAAAACAAAAAAAAATAGTGAGAATGAGGTCCATCATTCCCATTCCCCCACTATTTTTCCTGCTTTCCTTCTACCCTCTACCTTTCTTGACCTTTATTCAATACCCCATGCTCTACCTCTTGCCCATGCTGGCATCAATTGGGGGGATAATATAAATACCAATATTTCAGAGCAGTGTAAAATTTTGAGCAGCAAACCAATGTTCCACCAGGCTGAGGAGCACCAGCCCAGGCATCTTCCACACTTGCCAGAAAACAGATTGGCCAAATCTATTTCCTACAAGTGATTAAAATGCAATCTACCTGCTAGTAAGTTCAAAAATGTGTCTCAAATATAAACTCAAAGCAAGCTTTCATTTTTTTCAGAAAGCCCAGGTTCCAGAGGCTTCCCACAGAAATACTAAAGATGGAGTAACTCAGTGCAGTGACAGCTTTGTAAAAACGTTTCAAGGAAGAACTTACCTAAGCTTCAAATTTCCATAATTTATGCTAAATGTAGAGAAGCTTATTTTCACAAACATTGTAACAATTTTGAATGATCATAATCCTATGCATATTCAAACACATTCATTATACTGAAGTCATCATCTTTAATCTGAATACTTTGAGCAGTTCACAGCCTCCCTTTTACAAGTAAAGGGCATCTTTAGAATCAGATACAGCTCCCCAGAGCAAATATTTACTTACTTTAACAAAGGCCTTCCCACATATTTTGCTCCATTAGCAATACAAATTGTTGTACATATGTCACAGAACATAAGAAATCTTATAATAAGTGAAAATGTTCATTTTCATTAAATTTCATTTCCATTCTTATTTTCAGAAAGCTCTTGTTCGATAAAAATTCTCTTTAATCATGCTATCAGAACTACATTTCAAATTTTTCACAGCTGACTTATCTAAAAATTTCAAAGAATCTAACATTTTTTTCTTCTAGTTGTTGACAACTTCATTCTTTCAAAAAAGTTGCTAAATAAGATCTTTGATGCTACAGTCTTCAAAGAACACCTTAACAGCTGCTTAAATATTATCCCTGAGTGGGACTGCAGACTTCCTGATTCTACAAAGATTAATTCTTAGTCCATAATTCACAAAACCTCAGGAATTAGTCTGCAAAACCTCTGCAAAAAATTCTAAGAATACATGTCTCACTTTCCCATGTGGGAATGCAAGCAAACATGAAAAGGAGAGAAGTGACAGCTACTGCGTTCTCAGTATTTAGCTTTGCTTTGTTGTTGCTGTAAATGAAGACAACCATGACAAAACTGTACAAGACCATCCACTTATTACCCCTCTCCACAAAAAAGTTGACTGGTTCTTTTATTAAATACTGAGAATCACTTCCTACAGTGGTTCTTAGAATTGTTAACTGGAGACAGAGCTACACCAGGACTACACGAAGGTCTGAACTTCAGCAGCTCTGGCCTATCTCAGACTGCAATTCTGAAATGCAGAACCATTATCTAGAAAATGCAAGGCACCTATCTTCTCTTTGAAGAAACTTAACTTTCTTAGGATATCTTAAGCAATTAAAATCCAATCATAGAATTCCTGTTGGTTTACCAAAACAGAAGCTGGACTGCAGTATCTGAACTTATTTCCTTTTCCTGGAGACCGTTCCCTTTTCTAAGAGGCAGAACACAAAGTTTGATTTCCATCTTCTTTTATGCACCGTAAGGCACAAAAACATCGCAACTTCTAACAGAGAAGTATGAATAGCACAGTTCATTTTCCTTTTAAAGCCTTTTACAAATACAACCCTGAGAAAAAGAATACTGCTTTTTACAGTGGCCTTATTTTTCAGTGGCTCCTACACAGCACCATAGAGTTTAGAACTATTTCAGATATGTATAGAATTCCTTAGCAATATTCAAATATTTTATACATGATAGTGCAAGGAGGGTCGGTTTTGCTTAAATTCCCACCAGAATTGGAAGGGGGGAAAACAGCAGAAGCGAGGAAGTAGATTTTCAATTAAATGATGACTTGTTTCCTCAACAGGCGTAAGAAAGTAATACCTTCTTAATAATTTTGACATATTGAAGGCACATTAAATTGCACAGAACCAAGCCATACTCCCAGCTATTTCCAGTAACCTGTAAACATTCATTTATTCTCACAAGCCTGAATGATGAAACCCTGACAGGACAATATGAGACTGGGGAATGAGCAGTGGAAATACAGCTCCAGAAACACACCATTCGCTGAAAGGCCTGTTGAACCAAAGAATGACATTTCTAATAGTCTCTCAAAGACCCAGGAAAGCCCACATGTTACTGGTTAGCCAGACAAATTCATTCTCAACACTGTACAAGTCCTCTTTCATCATCAACATACACTGGTGCCAGATCTTTCAATCCAGCAACATATAATACGTAAGTCAGCCACATATTTTAGAATATTTAAGTTCTCCTATTTAAGTTCTTCCAATTAAGCAGCATTTTAAGAGAAAGGTTTTTTCAGTGGAGTGATGAACGTACATTGATTTTTATTAATTTAAGTTTACTCTGAAAGCTACAGGTAAAGCTGAAGCTTTCTAACAAAATAGTTCATAGAAGCAATGCAAAATTGAAAAAATCATTACTGCAGAAACTTCAATAAATATTTTCCTTTAATCCACTCAGACAAATGAGAATGTAACAGCAGGTACTCTTTTGTAATATCCCTAAAGCATCTCAAAAGCAACAGTTGTTTGTCTACACAGATTTGGTATTTTTAAGGTTTTTTGTAAGTTGGTAAGAACTAGAACGACGTTGCTTGTTAACCTGCTATTGTAATGATATATTTTTCAGTCAAGCGTTGGTTGACTGAAGCAGACAACTTCTCTTGCTGCAGCACAAAATTACATCACTTAATCCTCATTTCTGTGTCATGACTGTTCTCCAAGTTCAGAAGTTCTGTGTGGTTGTTTTTTAGAGCCAAAAGGGCACTTTTCATTTTTTAAACAGAAGTAATAAAACTATCTTAATGAGACTTTTAAAAAGCATCAGGCACATGCTATATAATACAAATCCAGAAAGTAATATACTTACAGCTTCAAAAGATAAGTTAACGTGTTCTAGGAATTTCTGTCTTAAACAGTCAGTCAGTTCATTGAAGCGGTATCGCAAGAGATCCATTTCTTGTTGAAGAAACCAACGCCTGAGATCCTCACTGCAAAGAAATGATAAAAAAACCAATATGCTTTCTGATTATTCATTCCCTCTTTCTTTATAAACTAGATGTCAAACCTAGTGAATATAGCATTAAATGTAGTGCTGACTTTGGCATGGGACCCACAAACTGAGGAGCTTGGAAAAGAAGACAGGAAACCTTCAGGAAGGAACACTCAAGCAGAAAAGACTTTTGAAGAGACCATACACAAAGAAGTGTGACTGCAGAAATATGAGACTTCAGTTACCAATAACTTAATGTTAACTTTTGAAAAGCCTCAGCATGGGCCAGAGTTCTATTTTACCAGGCAACCAACACCAGGAGATTCCTCAGAGTTTAAGTTTCAAAAGGTAGACAGCAAGGGGAACACGGGTACAGAAAAGCACACAAAAGTAAATGCTAGCCAATACAAGAGGCAGCAATTTCAGCACACAAGTCTAATTTATGATACAGAAAAAAATGGCAGGAAGCACAGAAAAGGCCTAGCTAAGTTTGATAAAGAACATGTCTTTTTTTTTTTTGTATGTGTCACATAGCAAAAAGGCACAAAACTATGTTTGAAAGTTTCCTGAATAGAAGAGTTTTGCTGTCAGAGAGGAGGCAAGACTTATTTCTTACACTTTAAGTGAAGATGATGTGCCTCTGACTTACAAGGTTCTTCACAGGTTATCTGATAAAGTGAAGAGAGATGCAACAGACAGAAGCAGAAATGCATGGTCATGGCCAACATGCAAGTAAAATTCTCTTCAGAACTGTGTTTGCCATGGAAGGGAATGAAACAAAATTATTCTGTTTCCTGGTCTTGACAGATGCAAGTGACATTACAAGAGGTGTGAAAGAAGGGTACGGATGAGATTGTTCACTCAAGACTGTACATACCATATCTCAGCAATACTATATGCAAATAAGCTTTAAAGTCTTGGATTTCAGAAGGCAGAAGGACAATCAAGAGATGACGACTACCTACAAATTTAACTGACAGGAGTGGTGGAGCTGGCCACTTCAGACCATGTAAAAAGCAAAACCAAGCAATCCAATTTATAAGTGAGGACTCATGCAGACTAGAAAAAACAGCTAATGTAAGCTCGTACCTCTGGGTGGCACTGTTGGCCAACTAGAAGCTTAAAAAGGCAGTGTCACAGGAAAATAAGCTGTAAACACAGCTGCCTGGCAGGCCACAGGGAACCAAATTCAACATAGTCTGCAGTTATGTCTATTTAAGCACACCTTTTCAAACACTCCACCTACCTTAATAGCTTTCATCAATTAACCTAATGATTAGTGCCAAGCTTATTTTTCTGACCTAATATGACAAAAAGCTTAGAGAAGAATATATTCTATTTGATTCCCAATTTTATCTTTTGGGGAACACGCCGGTTTTAAGGCATAGAAATACCTCATCCCTGAACTAGCTGCATTTCAAGAGAGAATGAAGAATGTTGGGTACAGGGTCACCTCACTGTGCTTAAGATGCTATTTTCCATTTTATGAGTAATCACTAAGTCCACCTTTTCAAAGAAAAATAAAATGCTGCTTTAAGTGGAAACTAACTATCAAGCTGCTTCATTGAAACACTGCATCAAACTATCCACATATACATGGGAACACAAAAATACATTTGCAAGTAGTTTAAAAAGAGAGTGCCCTGGATCCTCATCCAAGGCCCCTCCTCCCTAAGAAGGGGTCTTTCTCCCTAGACTATGAAGGCTCTTCCCTGCTGATTCTGTGGCCCAAAATAGCTTGTATTCATTTATGCACAGTGGTTCACCTTCAAGAAGTTGCTCACCTCTGCCCTGCCTATAGTCTAATTTTTAAGATACTTCCCTGAAACACAGGGTTTGAAGCATGTCTCCCATTTATTTCCTAAGCATGCACTGCAATTAATTAAGCTCTCATACAAAAGACAAGGATCATCTTTTTAAAAGAAAGCTTGCAGAGAAAAAGAAAGCAGTCTCAATTATCTGCATCTATCATTAATTCCAGGAGATTCCAGAGCCATTGTAGAGATGCAGGGAGGGTGAGGTGGATGTCACATCAGTGGCAAAGGCAGATATTTAGCCAAGTCCCTACCTGGTTAGTTCTGACCGAGACAGTCTTTCACTCGGCACACTGGCCACTGTCGTTCACATATGACTTCCTCCCTTCTCAGAACAGCGGACAAAGCTTACTGAATTCCACTACTGAACCAAATACCTAACCTTCAGGCTTTTGCTGCATGGCCTGTATTGCCTGCTGCGAATCTGACCCAAACTGATTCTTCCTGAAGCCACAGGACCAACCAAAAATAAACGCCTCTTGCATTCCAGATCAGATTCTTGCCACCAGACAATTTTACCTTCCAGAGCAGCAAAACTTTCTTCAAATGCGTCACTAGCAACACCCTCAGAGTGTCTCATCTCCCACAGAAAAGCAATGACCCCATCTAAATAATAACTAAATGCTTAAAATAAAGTTTTACAAGAGAGGATAATGGAATCCAAACTGACTATTCAAAATGCCACTAACTGCATAATAAGAAACATTAAGTTTTCAGGGGCTTTTTAGTACCAGGCTACCTCAGGATACCACCTTTTAGGGGGTTTTGGTAGGTAAAGCAAGATATTTTCATGTAAAAATCAGCTGGCCCAGTATGACTAAGGGAGTTTATAAAAATATACACAACAAACATAAACACTAGAAAGACACCAATATTAAATTTGTTATAAATCATCACAAATAATACATGTAGAATAGAGAAAGGTAGGAGGAATTTCAGTTGTAATTCTGTCATTCAGTTTGCTCCCTTCCTTCAGGATTTTAAACTATACTATCAGAGTCACTGCAGTGAAGGCTGCTACTAACCTTCACATCCACAACTTGGTCCTCACTGTACACGCATCACAGATCTAGCTGCCTCATCGATCGCATATATCAACAAACTCTCTTCAGCCCAGCCCAGATGTCTTTTGAAAGGGCAACATGATGGGATGTGAACAATCCAGAAGATTTCAGGGTGTTTGAAGTCACCCAGGGTCTGTCATGGTGAGGTTTCCTCCATGTGGAGGCTTCCTATTCTGATCAGATGGTCTGTAGCAGGCACCTACCATGTTGTTAGCCACCTTGGTCTCTTCTCCAACACTTGCCCCAAAACTCAACTGTCTCATGACTCATTCCAAGGAAAAGCCCTATCCATTCCAGCTCCGTATCTTGGCTTAGAGCACAATCCCTGCTACTCATCTTCCCGGTCTGGTTTTGCTTACGAATCTGTATCCGTCCATAGCAGCACTTCAGTCATGTCAGCTATCACTGTATCGTAATATGTATTCTACCACACTCACCTAATTTAAAGAAACTATTTTGCAACTTAAAGTGCAATTCAATTACCAAATCAAAACAGTACACGCTTCCTATTTGCCAGTTTTAATTCTAAAAAAGGACTGCTATGGCAAGGAGTAAGATCACACTGATAGCACAACAAAGCTGCTAACAGACATAAAGCACTGACAACCTCTATACTTTCATCCAAAAACTACAGCTGAAGCAAAAGGAATGCAGTCGACGGGACCAACATTGTGCTTTAGATTTCACATGACTAAATAATTGCAGTGCAACCATCCACAGCAATGAATTTGGAAGAAAAGCAGAGTCAGCAGAGGAAATCTCAAATTCAGACGGTAGTTTTAGTTTGCCAGAAACAAGGCTCTCTCCTTAGACAATAATATAAAGCCTATTTGCATAGTCAGGTCTGTAGTTAGTATCACCAGTTTAAGCACATGCAACAGTTAAATTAATCTAAATTAATTTATCAAGCACTGTGAATGCCTGGCAAACACTTTATTCTGGTGTGCCTTAATCTCAAAAAAGATGTGAAAAGGAAGAGGCTCAAATCAACATTCTGTGTGTAAACAGCAAAAGTTTATACTTTTTTTAATTACTACAAAATCTGGATATTAATTTTGATCCCGAGTATCCCTTTTCATCACAGTTGAAATCAGACTGCTAGCAAAAAAACCCTGTTTCAGCCTACCTCTCTATCTGTAGCCATGCAACTCTAAAATCTGTAGTCTATAACAAAGCAATATAGCAACTGTATACATTTAAAATTAATAACAAGAGTACAGCATAATCTAAAAAGTACTTACGACTGACAGTAAGCAAGGCGTAGTATGAAATGAGAGATGTGATCTTTTCTTCTTGCCTCAAAATCATCTTCAGCCAAAGCCTACAGAACATATTATTATTATTTCAGAGAAATAATCTCTCCCAGATTAAAATTCCACAATTAGTTTAACATTGCTGTTCAACAGTGTATTAATATTCATCTTTAAGACAATAAATGCAGGACTATTAAAGAAGGGGGTTGTCCTAAAGAAGGGAACCTATACTCTCAAAGAAAAACTACATCTCTGAAAAAATGACAGAATTCAAGTTTTAGGAATAGTAGTTCATCACCTCTACTTTTATTCAAAATTCATGAATGGCGTATAGCAAAATAAAGCACAAGAGAGTTCCCTTCTTTGATTTTTACTTACTTTGTAGGGAAACTTAAGTCTCCGGAGCTCAGCCTCCAGCTTAGTTTTGTACAAATCACTGCTTCTTACATAGCTCACACCAAGGTTTTCAACTACTTTGAGCACTGGCAAAAAAAAAGAAACAGTCTGTGTTAGAGACAACATGTTGAAAAGCAATCTAACTGTATCATGTCTTGGGAAATGCACAAAACGGAAAATCACCAGAATTGCTTTTAGCGGTATGGGGAGCAAAAGGGTAAGAAATATGGAGGATAAGGTGTGGCCCGCAAGTCCCAAACAGCTGGCCAACTCTGGGATCCACACAGTCAACAAGGGAAGGGGGACAGCTAACTCTGATGGATCAGTCTCAGAACATCAGTTTCCACTGTCATGATGGAAACCTTGGACTCGGTGGTTTTCAGGAGTTGAGGGGAACCCTTGCTCCCCGCCACAGCAATCCGAATCGCTGTACTGAGATGTCAAATACATTGCAACACCTAGAGAGTGAAGCATGCTCCAAAAACCCGCCAGAGTAAACCAAAACCATGCGCTCCTGGATGCCATACACCCAACGCTCACGGTGAAATCAGTCACAGCTCTCCGATACCTAAAGCAAGACGTTTGCCTTTACAGGGGGTTCATTTCAGCACGAGCAGGCAGCCAGTTCACACTCGTAACAAGCACAGAGAGCACCCAAGGCGCTCCTGGAGGCCATGCACCCAACGCTCACGGTGAAATCAGTCACAGCTCTCCGATACCTAAAGCAAGACGTTTGCCTTTACAGGGGGTTCATTTCAGCACGAGCAGGCAGCCAGTTCACACTCGTAACAAGCACAGAGAGCACCCAAGCCCGCCAAAATACAGCGATGCCAGGAAGAACCAAAAGGGGGAGGGGGGGGAAGAGGGGGAGCTAGGGACGGACGGACGGACACGCTACTCACGCCTCAGGCGGTCGACGGCAAAGCTCTCAAACTCCACCAGAGAGATGTTTTCCGTGGGGGGCTCCAGGTAGAACTGCAGGCTGTGAGGGTACAGCTCCCGCCGGGC